CACTAACGAGATAAATTTACCGCTTCTTTTGATCCTTTAATCGTTGCAAATGAAAGTTTCTACTTTTTGTAGCCTCCTATTCCCTCTTCAACCAGTCACCGTGATCTCATTCGAGGCGCTATCAAGAAGCGCCCGTCTGCACCATTAGCACCACACGTCCAAGAAGAACCAAAAAAGGCACGGAACTCGGCTGAATCTGTTGAGGGGAACCCTCTCGGTCTCACCTACTCTTCAGATGATAGCGTTAGCGAATAAGTCTATCTTTTCAATCCAATGTAAATAAATCTACCGATTCTTTTTTCGAAAGTAAGTAACTTTTATTCCGGGAGGAAAGCGTTAAGATAACAGTTTCCATTCATTATATGCATTAGGTTGTCCCACCAATGGTTTGACACGCAACCTCGATCGCTTGATTGGCTGTCGCCTCATCCATGACTTTGCGAAGCCAATCATGTGCCTTCTTGGCCAGGAGTTGCCATTCTGTCTGCTGTTTAATAGTTTTCAGGCGTAGAAATGCCAAAACTAGGGCTGTCGTCCAAATGTCTTCGTGGAAACCGATAACTGAAAGGCAAAAATGGGTGAAAATAAATATTTGAAAGTAGGGGATGGAGCCTTACACTGAGTTGGTACGCTGTCCATCTTTGCCGAGGGTAGAGAGAGAGCTTTAGTCAGTTCAGGGCTCCGAGTCCAAGCTCCAGAGAAGAGCTGGAGTTCAGCTATTTTGAGAATGATGTCGGATTCGGGTTCTTCAACAACCGTATCGAAGGGCGGTCGTAGACTGAGGCTTCTGTCTACAAGGATAGGTGAGCACTTTGATGGTCTGAAATCGGTGAGGGCGAAGGAGGATGCAAACAGGGTTTACCCTCTGGTAAGTCAGTAATTGCTATCTCAATACAGCCGTCTATGTCACCAGAAAGGCTTGGGAAGGGGTCAAATGGCACTACCATGGGCGCAAATGTCGCCCAGGCATAAGCGCTCGCTTAGTGAAGGCAGACCAATCTGCCTGACAGGAGAAGAAACAAGTCGAGCATGAGGTAATGTAAACACCTCCCAGCAAAACAGCTAAAACTAGTTTATTGTTAAGTAAATTTTCACTGTTATGGCAACAGAGAAGCATATTTGAAGATTGGAGATAGATTTTTACTCGACTCTTGGAGAAGAGCCGTTGGAAGAAGGAAAACGCACAAAAGTCATCATCATCATACATTTGCCACTGTAAGTTAAATGCATTCGCCCCGTTGGGGGTGCTGCACCTCATGCACCGAACTTTGGACACTTGAACTCTTAAATGCCCTTCACAAATTGCCCATAACCACAAATTTCTAGCTGTTCTTAGCAGTGGACCACTGCGAAGCGATGGGATCAAAGTGGCAGATAAAATCTTCCCGCTTTGTGTGTATACTGTACGCACGAAATATGAAACGAGGACGATTTGTGTCGAGGCAGGAGAAATGACAAAGTAAAAGGAGGGATAAGTTCGGTTCCCAGCTGCTTTCCGAGTGCCACCACCTAAGACGGCATTCACAGCAGTGGAATCGGTTCTACACATTTCAAGCCTCATAATTAAGAAGTAACAGAATTTGCCAATGCTTCAAAGATGCACATTTCAATGGAATGAGAAAGGGTCAAAGTAGAATGAGGGATTTTGTCGAGCTTTTTGGTAAAAGGAGATTCAAAATCTATAGTCACTAAGGGGGGAGGCTTGAGAGTGAACCGATGAGCTCCGATGGTGATCAGACGAGGATGGAAGAGCAGATGTAGTCCAACAGAGGGCATTACAAATAATCAACCTTAAAATCTGTCCAAAGTCTTCTCATCCAAACGCTATTCCAACAGCCTGAGTAGAAAATAGAGACCGTCAAAGTGGATACGTTCAACGAGAGGAGATCTAGGAAAACTTTACCCCTTCTCAACTCCACTGCCGCGATGAGGCCATGATGTTCTGCTCAGCAGGACAAGACTGTTGATTACAGGGCCCATTACCGAGAAGGCGGATCAAAGTGAGATCGTGTTGTGTAACTGCACCCATGCTCTCGTCAAAAAGCAATTCTCCTACTTGACTAAACGGCGTTTTGGAACAAAACCGAGGGGCAAAAGATTTGACCACAAGCTAATGTCCCTATTTGCGCTTAGCTCTGTCATTAAATTACCATCGTCTGTGCAATGGCCTGGTTTAACAGTTTACCCCTAATAAGTAGCTAGACCGTGTCCAAGGCTCCGATGGCTGTAGAGAATGGAGAGGAGTTTGACAAGAAGCACTTTCACATGTCCTCTCTCCTTCCAAGTAAATTCTACATCACTGTGTCATGCATTCTTCGACAACTCTCTTCTGCGGTTCAAAGAGAGTGGAAAGCAAACTGCATTAAGGTTCTACCACTGATGCAATTGGAAGTCATGCAGCCTTGCCCATGGTACGCTCGCCTACTGCCATGACAGCACTTGGCGTTTTTTCTATCAAGGCCAATTTGGAGGAAATATATACCACCAAAGCCCAACTTTCCTATTGGTTTCATCGTTTTGCGCACAATTAATCTACTGATAAATAGCAATTTTTAGCAAGTGGTGCCACCATCCTTCAACAGTCACCCAACTTTGG